CGGGTCGCTGCACCCTTGCCCGAGCGTGCGAAGCGCATCGTGGGGGCTCTCAAATATTACCCGGTCTTGTCTCTTGCCTCTTGTCGCGAGTTCTAGGATGGACTCTTGCCTCTTGCGATGCACGCCGCGCGCGCAGGCGCGTCCGATGATGGCATTGCGGACGGAGAGGCGCGCGAAGGCCGCATCCCACATCCCACATCTTGGGCAACGCGGGCTCATGGACGAAGGCGGCGCTTTGGAGGTGGAGATACATGCCGCAAGCCGCAGGCCTTGAGCCGTCGGGCTATGAGCTCGAAGCGCGCGTTTCGTGCGCGTCAGAGATGAGAGCCTCGCGCGCGTCGCCGCCGGCCGCTGGCCGCTGGCCGCCGGCCGCAGCAAATGGCGCGAGGTCCAGCTTCCAGCTTCCAGCGGCTGCGTCCACATGCCGCTCCCGGCCCCCAGGGCGGCCCCATTTGAGCCGCGCGGCTGGCGGGGGCGCCGGGCTGTTGCCCGTTGCCCCTGGCAGCGCGCATTTTCGGCCCCGACGCTAACTACTCGGGTTGCCGCATGATGGCGCTGGAGGGTTGCGCGGCGCTCCTGAAGGAGGCCGGCCGAGCCGACAACAACGCCAGCCAAGCTGCAGCTTGCAGCGCGTTGATTGAAGAACGCGGCGCGCGGTGGAGCGCGGCCAGCCCGTCCACCAGGTTGACAGTGTCAACGAGGTCAAGGCGTCAAGGCCGCGGCGTTTGAGCTCCTCGCCCCTCCCCCCATCCCCCCTCCCCAGCCCCCAGCCGCAGTGGAGACCGCCGATTATCCATTATGCAATCCCCTCGGACCTCGGACCTCGGCCCCCAGACCCCCGACCACCGACCACCGAACAAGAAACAAGTCAAACAGTCAAACGACCGACATCCTAAGGGGGGGCGGGGGCCCCCGTCGCATCGCCTGGCTAGAGCCTGAAGCCCGAGCGGCTGCGCCCGCGCGCCCGCGCGCCGCCCCCCGCCTCGGTTTTCGGCGCGCCCCTCCCACGCTTCGCGCTTCGCGACCCCGTTGGGAGCTCAATTTAGAATCTAAGGTCTAAAGCCTAAGGCCTAAGGCCCCAGCCCCCAGCGGGTGCGTCTGCATCCACATGAAATGATTTCGCCCCGCCCATTCCCCGCTCCCCACTCCTCATCCTCATTTCCCATTTCCCACTCCTCATCCCCCGTGCCCCCGCCCATTCCCCATGCCCCAAACGTTTCGCGGCCCCACGGGGGGAAGCATCCGCGCGCGGGGAGAGGGGGCCGCGCGCCGCGCGCTAACGCCCCCCCCCCCGCGCGCGCGATGGGGGCATGGGGTATGGGGTTGCGCGTTGTGCCGCGCGTGAAGCGCGGGGGCGCGCGAGTGCGCCCCCGCGATGTCGCGCGCCCCATGTCCCGTGCTTCGCACTGCCTCGGGCCCCGGGATCCGAACTTCTCTCTGCGCGCAACCGTTAAGGAGGTGGGAGGCGGGAGTCGGGAGTCGGGCCCTGCAATTGGTTTTTTGTTCGGGCGTCGGGCCGCGTGTTCGCTATGTGCATATTTGCCATATGCAATATGCACGTATACATCTGCGTAGGTGCGCGCACAGAAAACAAAAAATAAACATGTCGCCGAGTTTAGTTTTGATTGTTTTCGGGCGTAGCCCGAATTTGTTTTTCGCGTAGTAAGCTGAACTGGACTGGACTGGACTGAACTGGTCGCATATGTTAGGGGCCCGTTTTATTCTCGGCGCCCCAGGGCGCAACCCATGGCGCAAGCAATAAGAGCTTGTTTTATTCTCGGCGGGCGAGGGCGCAACCTATGGCGCAAGCAATAGGAGCTTGTTTTATTCTCGGCGGACGAGGGCGCAACCGATGGCGCAAGCAAGCCCCAACCAATGGAATATTGCGACGCCGTGGGCCCTGATTCCTTCTCCCTCGTCCCTCATCCTTCCTCCCTCCCCACTCTTACGTATTTCCCCCCACCTTTGTCCTCTCTTCCCTTCTCCCACATTCACCTTTTCCCCCGCTTCTTCCCCCCCCCTCCTCCCCTCCCTCCTCCCCTCCCTCTCACATCCTCTCCCTTATCCTTCCCCTTTTCCCTTCCTTTCTCCCCTCCTCCCCATCCCTTTCCTCCTTCCTCTTGTCTCTCGCCTCTTCCATCCCCATCCCCGCCCCCCCCTCTCTCGTCTCTGTTCTCTGTCATCGCCCCCCATCTCCCCTACCTTCTCCCTTTCCCCTCTCTGCGCCCCGCGCCCCGATTTGCGATTGGCGGGGGTTCTAAGGTGTCAAGAACGATTTGCTCGAGGCCGCTGGCGTCTCGCAGGAGGAGTTCGCGGCGAAGGCGCAGGCCGTATTGGCCCGCCTGTCCCACCACCCTGCGGCCCCCTTGGACGAGTTCCTTCTCCCGGAGAGACGCGCCATCCTAGAGGGCTACATGAATTCCTTAACGACGGCTGAGCCGCCGCGGAAGAAACAGAAGAAGGAGGCCGCCCCTTTATGGCCTGGCAGACACGCCGTGTGGAATAAGAAGGCTGGATCTGATTGGTGGCAGCCCTCGCCGTTCCGGGGGGAGGACGCGGCCGCGCGACATCCAGGTTTGAAGGCGTTGGCCGCCAGGCAGCTCGACATGCTGGAGAGACTCAACTTGTCATTGCCAGAGGATGAGCCGAGCACCGTAGATGTCAACATGTCCCTCGGTCGCTCCCGCGAGCTCATCAAGCATGGTTCGGCGTGCCTCACCGAGAAGAGCCTGGTGCATCTAGCTCATAAAAGCAGGCTTGCCCATGGAGTGGAACATCTGATGATGATGGGTTTCCTCGTCGATGAATTGCTCGGGCCGCAGCCGCGGGCGAGCGAGGTCGCCGCTCGTATGATGGAGTTCAGTTCTTCGTTTTTGAAGAACATGGCCGGCAATGCATTCGACTCATCCGCCTACATGGTCGCGCAGGTGGCGTTGAGTGCGTTCCTCGGCGAGGTGCGCTTGCGCATTCGTGCCATGCCGCAGAACACTGACGCACAACGGGCCATGGCTGTCGGTTACAATCTCATGGGCATGGGCTACGGCGACAGCGACGAGAGTGACGAGTGACGATGGAGCACCCGGGGCGATCCAGGACGACGGCGACGGGTGACGGACCAGGTTCAGCAGCGACACTCAACCTATGAGGCGGGGCGCCCATTGCCAGGGGCTGGAGGCCTTTAGATTTCTCCAGGAGGAGCGAGGAGGGAGGAGGGAGGAGTGTGAGCGAGAGGCGAGAGCAAGACGCAAGACAGCAATACATGAGAGAAAGTGATTGAGAGAGATAGGGGGATAGGAGATAGGAAATGGGACATAGTATATATCATTTATAGATAAGCTAGGGAAAAGAGGATCGAGCGAAGAGCGAATATATTAACGCGGCATGCGGCATGCGGGTTTCGGGTTGCGGGTGCCGAGGGCCGAGAGCCGTCGACAGTCGAGCTGACGAGTGACGAGTTCACAGTTCACAGTTCAGGTTTCACATTTTAGGCGAGTTGCCGACTGTAGCTAGCTGAGGCACGGATGCCTGATGCTTGATGCAGCGTTGCGCGTTGCCCGTTGCCCTTTGCCCGTTGCCCTCTTCAAGCCGAGCAGACCTGTGCACGTTGTCAGACGTCAGACCTCAGAGTTCAGAGCGCAGAGCGCACGGCGTCAGGCGTCGGAGCATCGAGCATCGAGCATCGAGCATCTCGCGCTGGCCGCCCGCCGTCCACAGCTGGGCGCTGGGCGCTGGGCTAGGGGCTCCGTGGCACCTGGCATGCAAGAGCGCGCGTGGTGCATGTATCGACGGTCGACGGGCTTCGTTCACTGGGTGCGTTATCCTCCCTCCGCCTCCTCCGCTGTTCTCCTCCTTCTGGTCCTCCGGCCTCCTCCCTCCTACTTCCTCCTTCCCCCTCCTCCTCCTCCCCCTCTCCTCTCTCCTCTCCCCCGCTCGACTCCCTCCTTCCTAGGTCCCAAGTCCCAAGGCGGGTTGGGGGGTCAGGTCTGCTCGGTATACCCCTTTGTTTTGTCGTTGCCCACTGCTAGTTGCTAGTGCTACTCCTGGCCGCCGCCACCATTCGAGCCGCTTGGTTTGGCAGGAGTTTGTTTTGTGCAGGTTGCTGTGCTTGCCTTACTTACAACTCATCTGGGATCCTACGTCCACGGGCTGCCGGGCCCCAGCGATGCCCGTATCCAACTCGGGGGGCGAGGGTTCCAACAGGGGGAAGTTCTGCTAGTGGTGCGGGGGTTCCAGCTTGGAGGTAACCTGGACTCGCGGCGGAGAGGGCTGTCAGTGTCGGCAGTGCACGAGCTACCTCCAGTGGAACTACGCTGAAAAGGATGAGAGGAAGCAGCTTGAGAAGGACATCGAGAGGGATGGACCAGAGAGACAGAAGCGGTTCAGACAGGAGCAGGGGGAATCTGCCGCCGCCTGTCATTCTGGGAAGCGGCGCGCGAAGAAGTCGAGGAAGACTGTTGAAGCCACGGAGACTCTCAAGCTGGAGGGCAAGATGAAGTGCGGGGTATTCTGGCCGAAGGCGATCTACGAGGAACACTTCAGCAAGAAGTTGCCTGCGTCTTTCAGCACGCAGTACAGGCATGGTAACACCGACCTCACAGGACTGGACACTGGACAATGAACTCGTAACGCCATCCCTCCCCCTCGACTCCTCGATCCTCGCCCCATCTCCCATCTCCCCCGCCCCCTCCTTTGTCTCTTGTCTCCTGTCTCCCCTCCTCTCTCCTCCCTGCTCCTACTCGTTCGACAGTCGACAGCTGCCAGTTGCCAGTTGCCACTAGACTTTGGACTCTCAACTCTCATCCTCTCGCCCCTTCACCCTTCGCCCTTCAGCCTTCACCCGTCAGCTTTCTTTGTTCTTCATTATTCGTTCTTCGTTCTTCGTTCGAGATTCGAGATTCGAGAGAGAGGAGCGGTTCTCTGCTCCTCGCGCTCACTGTGTACTTGTGTACTGCGTTCGGGCGCTCCTTCCAGGAATCGCACTCTCATCAACGATCCCGTTCATGGATGGGTGCATTGAGCTGAGCTCGATATCTGGCGCTGAAGTCACCGTGCACGACGAGCTCCCGGCGAACGACGCTGACGCGGCCTTCAAGAAGGTAGCGGCCAAGTTGAAGCCAACCATAACCAAGGGCAACGACGCGACTAACGCGGCGGGCGATGCGGATGGCAACTACGTGAAGGTCAAGCTGCCCGACACGAAGAAGAGGAAGGCCGGCGCCGACAGCGACGACGAGGACTATGTTCCCTACGACGCTCTCTTCGGACCCATCGTCAAGTCTAAAGGTGGCAAGAGCTCGAACAGCGCCGGCGGTGATGGCGATGAGGGCGATGGCGGCGGCGGCGGTAACCGCCGCGGCAACGGCGGCGGCGGAGGAGGCCGCGGAGGCGCAGGAGGCAGCGCAGGCGGTGCAGGCGGCGGCTCGGGTGGCGGTGGTGGCGGAGGCAGCAGCGGCGACCGCGAGAAACGAGCGGACGCCGAGCAGTTCGCAAAGGCAGGCTTGTTGGAGTGCCAGGGCGTGGTCCATAGGCTCGAAGACGAGCAGATGGCCCACGGAGTCACGACGACCAACATGACTTCACTCAAGAAGAGGATGAACATCGCTCTAGGACCTGATAAGATTAAGATCCTCACGTCGGGCTCGGAGGAGTTGATCACTGGGGCCAGCGGCGCCTTGGACAGCGTCGACCAGCTCCTCGGCGAGATGAACGATATCAATTCCAAGATCGATGCTGCTACGCCACTGGTCACCAAGCTTCAGAGCAAGCAGGAGGAGTCGGGAGTCGGGCGTCGAATCAGCCCTTCCGAAATACGACAATACACATCCCTCGCCCCTCGCCCCTCGCCCCTCGCTAGCCGCTAGACATTTGATATTAGATATTCCACGACCCACCCCCGCCCTATTTGACAAAACCACGTTGTATAGTGTATAGGCGATAAGCGAGTTACTGCTTTTATATATATGTATACATATATGTATTACAGATGACAACAAACGTCTAATTGCAACTCTAGGGGTCGAAGCGTCGAAGCTCGAAGCCGGGGGCATCGAGCTGCGAGCTGGACACCGCCCCCGCCCTCCCGCCTCCTCGCATTTTCTTCATACTTATCTTCCAACTGCCCACTGCCCCAGAGACCCCCGCCTTCCTCCTTCCTCCTACTCGCCCTGCCCCCCCCTAGGCCGTTTTGGCCGTGGGCCCTGAGTCCTGAGCCCTGGCGCGTGCTCTTTCTATGATATCTCCGCCCGCCCTGAAAGGAGGACGGCGACGGCTTGCTCGATGCCATGGTAACCGCTCGTGCTTCGGGATTGGCAATTCAATTCCAGAGTCCCTGACGTTCTCCGTTCTGCACCGTTCCTCACCAAGGCCATTGCCGACAAGGACTTCGAACGCGCCGCGGCGGTGGTGCAATGGAGCGGCGGCGGTGGGAGCGGACGCGGAGTCACGTTGCAGGCTCAGATTCACGATCAGTCGAAGGCTGCCCCCATCCAGGAGAAGTTAATCATGCGGCAGCTCCTGGACACAGTCAGGACGACTGATGTTAACAAGCCCAAGTCACTCGACATGATGATGAAAACGCTCCAGGCGCTCACTGCGCCCGTGGCGATCATCGAGAACGTCGAGGAGACCGTGACATTCAAGCCCCAGTTGGACCAGATGGCAAAGGTAATGGGATGCATGCCTCATATCACGGACTCGCTCCCAGCCGAGGAGAAGGCGCGGGCTTTGACAGAGGGAGCGGCTGCGAAGACCAAGATCAACGAGGATCGCAACCACAGGTTCCATAAGATCTGCTTCTTTCTGCCCGCCGGGCGGCACATCGCGGCCAAGATTGACGAGCTTGTGTTGCAGTCCAAGCAAGACCTCAAGTGCCCGCAGAACCTTGACAAGCCGGCGTCGTCGATCTCCACTGTGCCAGTATTCGCGCCGAAGACTGACGCTGATCTCCGCGGCCCTATCGTAATCGACAACCGCAAAAATCTCAAGACTTTCTGCATCAATGCGCTGGAGCTCGATGGGAAGCTTTCCGAAGGCTACAAGCAGCTCAATGCGAGCAAGATGAAGCAGGTCTTCGACCATAGAGACGCCATCGTCAACTCCATCGTTGCGCACTGCAGGCATCGCCAGAAGGTCGCCCTAGAGGACGCGGTTACACGCGTGAACCAAGTCTTGAAACTCACGGACGGGCTCAGCGGCAACGTCGACGGCGAGTTTTTGACCAAGATCTCCGAGAGCTTCGACAAGGCGCTCACGGAGTTCGGGTCGATGAAGCAGCTCGGCATCAACGACATTGCCGGCGTGGATAAGGCCAAGGAGGTCGACGAGCTTTTTCAGTCGGGGAAGGTGGCCGCGCAGCATCTGAAGGAGCTGATCCCCGCCATCGCCGAGGTCTCCAAGAAGAAGAAGACGGGCCTTGATGTCAGGACGGCCCAGGTCAAGGGTCTGGCGGACTACTTTGCGCAGCTCGGGCCCAGAGCCGCGCGCGTCGCAAGTTGGGCTGGGGAAGAGGTTGCCAAGTTCGAGGGTTGGATGAGGACTGAGGTCACGAAAGCTCTCTCCACGAAGGTCGTGCAGACGACCGCGCCCTTCCAGAGGTTCTGGGTGCTGGGTTTCGTGGGGACCCCTGCTCCCTGCTCCAATCCTCTTCTCCTCCAACCCCATCCCCCTTCCTCATTCCTCTCATTTGCCCGTCTCCTGCCCCAGCTCCTTGTCCGCTGTCCTCCTCCGACCTCCAGACCATATCCCCCGCGCTCCTCCTCCTGGGCGGGTGACTGAAGACAGGTGGGAGTTAGGATTTAGGGGCATTGAAACAATCTGCCCCTCTAGTTTCGCTAAGCTGGTGGCCGAGTGGCTCGACAAGGCGCCCGAGCAGACTGAGGGTCAGCCAGAGGCAGTTCTTGATCCAGAACTGGCCCTACATGAGGGAACGACTACTTTCTTGAAGGTGATCTTTCTGAAGGAGAAGGTTGGCGAGGTTACCGAGTTGGCGAGCCTCGCCCGCTTGGGCGTTTACTTCGACAAGTTCGCCAAATGGCTCGGCGTGGGTTTCGTATGCAACACCTCGCCCACTGCGCTCCGTGCAGGCCTGCTCATCTTGACCCAGCCGATCTTGCACGTGGGGCAACGCGTGGTGAAGAGCGATGATGTGGCTAAAACCTTTAACAACGCAGAGTTGAGTTCAAAGGGTGATGTGCATATCAAAACGATGCAGGACATCCACTCCAGCGTTCAGTTCGTTGCCCTCGCGGAGAAGATGGTCAACTCGATGAAGTCTGCTGAGGGCCTGGGGCCCAGGGCTCTTGAGCGGGCGGTGTCCATCCTCAAGGCAAGCCGCGATCGTTTCGACGCCGCAGCCACGGCGGTCCTCGACTCGGGCGTTGCGGCCGGCGCCAGCCTGATTACGGATTTCCAGAAGCTGATGGCGGGTGAAAAACTGACTAAACTGACTTCCCTCTGCAACGAGGGCGACTACACGACCGACCGCATCAACAATATCATGGATTTGGTCAAGAGCGAGGAAGCTGTGGAGTACTACAGAACGTTCAAGAAGTCCCAGAAGGCCAAGACTTGCCTGGAAAACATTCGCAAGACTGCCATCACCATCAAGGACACGATGAACATCGAGATTGCCGTTGCCAAGCTGGACGCTTGCATCGGGACTTACACGGGCGATGAGTACGCGAGCTATCATAACGTGATGGGCATTCTGCTTTGCTCGCAGACGATCTGGAGGGACCTTCAGCCCGGCGAGTCCCGCGACGCCATGGCCGAGCAGTGCCTTAAGACCGTCGAGGATCTCACGATCCCGGCCCCGCTGGGGATCGCGCTGAAGCAGCTCAGCACCAAGGAGAAGGACGAGCCGCCGCCATCCTCCGAGCATGGCACCTCCGCCGCAGCCTCAGCTTAGCTGCCCAGCTGCCCAGGCAGCCGGCAGCCTCGTAGTTCGTAATTCGGTTTTCGGGTTTTAAGGTTTTGAGCGGAGAGCGGAGTGACGCGCGTCACTCGCCTGGCGCCTAGCCTGGCGCGGCAGCCTCGTAGTTCGGTTTTCGGGTTTTGAGCGGAGAGCGGGGTGACGCGCGTCACTCGCCCGGCGCCCAGCCTGGCGCTAGCGGCTCCGACTGGGCGGGGCCGGGAGTGCAGAGTGCAGCTGTTCTTATGCCCTATGCCTCCTCCTCCTCTCCTCCCCCTCCCTCTCCAGTCTCGAGTATGCCTTCTCCCTTCTCCTATTTCCCACGCCCTCGCCCTCCTCATCTTCCCCTCAGCTCCCCTGCTCCATGCATCCTGCCTTGCTTCCTCCATCCTCCATTCGTCATCCGACCCCTGACCCTTCCTCAAAATAAGCCTCCTCCCATATTCCATCTTCCCTCTCCTCATCGCGGCCGCTCAGCGTTGTGCCTCTCTCGAAAGGGAGAAACGAATGAAAAATAAAAGATGGGGGGGGAAAAAGAAATTGCGGAATGGCGTAGGCCATTTGAATAATAACAATCCTGTTGTGTTGGGTCCGCGTTTTGACTCCGCAGCGCCTCGCGCCTCCTCACCGCCTCCTCCTTTCCCTTCATTCCTCCCCTCCTTGCACCTGCCACCTGCCCTCCGTCCTCCGTTCGCCCTCATCCTCGTCCTCCCGTCGCCCGTCGTCGTCGCCACCGCCGCCGGCCGCGCGCCGCAGGCGCGCGCGCCCCGCGCGCGCCGCCGCGTGCCTCCGCCGCGCGCGCGCGCCGCCGCGTGCCTCGTCGTCGTCGTCGTCGTCGTCGTCGTCGTCGTCGTCGTCGTCGGTCGGTCGGTCGTCGTCGTCGTCGTCGTCGGTCGTCGTCGGTCGTCGTCGTCGTCGTCGTCGTCGGTCGTTCGGTCGTCGTCGTCGTCGTCGGTCGTCGGTCGTCGGTCGTCGGTCGTAGTCGTCGGTCGTCGGTCGTCGTCGTCGTCGGTCGTCGTCGTCGTCGTCGTCGTCGTCGTCGGTCGTCGGTCGTCGGTCGTCGGTCGTCGTCGTCGTCGCCGTCGTCGTCGGCGTCGTGCGTCGTCGTCGTTGTCGTCGTCGAATGTTAGCCCGCGTGGACCGTGGGCCCCGAACAGTGGCGGACCGCGGGCCCCAAACAGTGTAACAGCGTGTTTCGAAGTAGGAAAAGATAAGCGGCAGGATAACCGGATATAAGCGGCAGGGTAAGCGGCAGGGCCAAGATATAAGCGGCAGGATAAGCGGCAGGGTAAGTGGCAGGCCTCTCTGGGAACGCCAAAAGATAAGTGGCAGGCCCCTCTGGGAACGCCAAAAGATAAGTGGCAGGCCTCTCTGGGAACGCCAAAAGATAAGTGGCAGGCCTCTCTGGGAACGCCAAAAGATAAGTGGCAGGCCTCTCTGGGGACGCCAAAAGATAAGTGGCAGGCCTCTCTGGGAACGCCAAAAGATAAGTGGCAGGCCTCTCTGGGAACGCCAAAAGATAAGTGGCAGGCCTCTCTGGGAACGCCAAAAGATAAGTGGCAGGCCTCTCTGGGAACGCCAAAAGATAAGTGGCAGGCCTCTCTGGGAACGCCAAAAGATAAGTGGCAGGCCTCTCTGGGAACGCCAGATGATAAGCGGCAGGGCCAGGAAATAAGCGGCAGGAGGCTCTAAGCAAAGTTACAGGGAGGCCGACCCTAAGCTGAACCCCAACATTGTCAACAGTGTCGAGGGCGCAAATCCGCCCAACGTGGACAGCAACGAGCTGATCGTCACAACCGGCGGAAACGACAAACTCGAGCAGTGCGGGGCGGCGATGCGCAGCAACTTCGCTACCAAGGGCGAGGCTGTTGACAAACTGCCTGCCCCCGCCTCGTCTTTCATCACGAAGGTCACCGAGAACGCTAACCTGGAGGGCGCCTCCTTGCAGGAGACCGCTGAGGCATCGCCGGCGCAGCAGATCGTCGAGAGCGACGCCACAGTCCAGGAGTACCGCTTCGAGGACACAGCGGTGGACCCCACGAGCGAGGTGGCGCTGCACAACGGCCTCGGCGTGGACCCGAAGGCCGCAGTAGCATCGAGCGCCAACGCGGACAACAAGGAGCTGATGGACACCACCTTCACGACTCTCGAAGCCGTTCCGCGTTGGGAATACAGAGATGACAGTGGATTTTGGAAGGACTTCGCGGACGCCCGTAACAGTGCCAAATTAGACAAGAGATATCACAAGTTCCTTCAGCACCCTGGGAAGAGCATCATCACGATTTTGTTGTTCGACTCGGACGGCATGGAGGTAGATTTCAGGGCCATGGAGATGTGGCCTATTGTGAAAGGAGGCTTTCGTAACCGTAGCAGCCTCCGCAAGCTTTAGGGGGCTCCTTGTGCGGCGCGGGCGCGAAGATATCCGCGCCTTGGGCGGGCTCTCCGCGGGCCCCCGCTGGGGCCCCCTCGCCCGCCACTGTGCTCGCACTGTTTTGGGCCCTCGTTCGTTTTCCCGAATAAGCCTCTAGGCCGTAGTGGGGTTTGTGATGTTGATAGAAATCCCGTCTCGGATAGCCGATTCCGCCACGAGCTCCTCTAGGCAGGGGCGCAGGCGATGGAGATATATCGCTTGTCAGCGAAGGAGACGGTAGGATAGTGAAGATATTCTGGCCTCGGATGGGGGCCCCCGATTTCCTTGCCTCCTCGCTGCCGTGCTCCTCAAGGAAGGCGCAGCGCGGCTGGTCGGCGGGTAGTGGAAAGGGAGATCGGATGTCACCCCTGGAGGTAGAGGGTTGGGTCGGGTCGGCCAACCCTCTGCCTTCCCCCCCTTGAGAATGTGATGGTCCTCCTCCTCCTCCTCTTCCTCCTCCTCCTCCTCGCCTTCCTCCTCCCCCTCCTCCCTCCTCCTCGTGGCCGAGGGCCCGCGTTGGGGCCGAGGGGGGGCGGGACCGGGGCGCGGGGAACGGCACCCAGGAGGGCGCAGTCAGCAGCACGGGGGCGGGCAGTGGCGGCCGGCTCGAGAGGCGGAGTCCGCCAAGTTCGTGGAGGCCTGCTCGTCGTCGCCGTCGTCGTCGTCGCCGTCGCCGTCGTCGTTGTTGTTCTCCTTCTCGCCTTTCTCTCTTCTTGGACTGGGTTAGGGCGAGGATCAATCCGTTCAGAGCGTCCTGGAATGCTCTGAGATGGCCGCGGCGCCCAACGCATCTTCCAGAGCCGCCGGATCTCAGAGATCCTCGATTTACCCTCACACGAATTAATATTCGTCCTGGTTTCGTCTTACTCCTTCTGCCCTCCCACCCGCATCCTCCTGCTCATCCTCACGTAGTCTAGTCAAAGACGTCTGCGGCCGACCACCGCTGCCCACTGCCGCTCTGGATACGTTTACGTGGCCAAACGTTATGCTAAAGCCCGGCCAAGCAATTTAACTATTTGTTCCATGGAACCCCTTGAGGGAGGAACCCTTTGGGAAAGCACGTGGTGCAGTCAGAGAGAGAGAGAGAGACAAAGTGAGAGAGAGAGAGAGTGAGATAGATGTGTATATATATATATATATATATATATCGAGAGAGAGAGAGAGGGAGAGAGAGACACACACACACAACAAAGGATATATATTATATAATTTATATTATATATATATAGATATGAGATTTAGGGTGGGAGGAACAGGGAGCGGGAGGGAGGGAGAGGGCAGGAGAAGGAAGAGGAGTACGATGGCGAGGAGGAGGCGGAGGAGGAGGAGGAGGAGGACGAGGAGGAGGACGAGGGGGAGGAGGAATAGAGGGTGAAGAAGGAGCAGGAAAACGAAGAAGAGACGTCGTGGGGGGCCTCTGATGGGGCTTGTGGGGTCCTGTCAGCTGCTCTCCTCCCGTCCGCTGTTGTTTTCCCGTTCGTTGCTCCCCCCGCCCGTTGTTGTCCCTGCCTTCTGCCCTCCCGTCCGCTGCTCCCCTCCCATCCACTGGTTTCTTTCTTTGTGCTGTTGTCCTCCCGTCCGTTGTTCGCCTCTCGTTCCTATCTTGCTGTTCGATCCTCTCCTCCCGTCCGCCGCTCTCCCCCCGTTCGTTTTTGTTCCTCCTGTCTGCGCTGTCCCCTTGTGCTGCTATTCTGCCGTCCTTTGTGTTCCTCCTGTCTGCTGTCCGCTGCGTCCGTTCCCCTCCTCCCGTCCGGTGCTATCTTCCCGATCGTTGTTTTCCTGCCGTCAGCTGGAGTCTGAACTTTTGGTTGCGCGTGTTTCATCGCGGCGGGGCCCGCGGGCCGAAGCCTCTCATGCGCCGGTCTCCTCCCGAGGCCATCTTGTAGGGCGTCGACCACAGGAGGGGGGGGGCCCTATGTGCGCCCCCCTCCCCCCTTGGGGCACCGCCTCTTGTGGCCCTTGCGGGACGCTCCTGGGCCGCCGCTATTGTGCGCTCTTGGGGCCGTCTGCGGGGCATCTTGGGCCCCTCTTGGGCCTCTCGTGGGCCATTTTGGGGCTATCTTGAGGCTTCAAAAGCGCATCGGAAACGAACAGGTGAGAAGGCAAACGCCAGTGGTGTCCCTTAGTTTGTTGAAGGATGTTGGCCTCTTGGGGAAGGTCCCGTGGGGGGCTCCGACAGCGCTTGGATCCATCTTGTGGCCTTCGTCGGGCCTCTGGGATGGGATGTCGCACGCTATCCTTCACCATGGGCGGCGCTCTTGGAGCCATCTTGGGCCAGATCGCGGCCCGCCCTCCCCCCCAAACCGCAAAAACAATAACAAAGACACAGGGAGGGGTAGGGGGAGGGCACCCCTCGCCGAATGGAAGAGGGTTTGGGAAACGGAGCGAACGATGGCGTTAGGCCACGTTCGCCCAGAGGGTTGGTGAGCTGATCTCCCCCCTGCATCCATACTCTCGAAGCCCAATGGCATGTTTTTTTGTGATTTGGGGACGAAGCAGGAGGAGGAAGAGGATGTCCGGAAAAAAGGTGCCG